TTAATTATTTGTTGCACATTAAGGCACCTGACTGGAATAAATCTGTTGCAAGGGTGAGTTGAATGTGTGGATTTTGCGTGCGTAAAATGTTTCACATGTGCGTCTTTTTATACACAAAATGTGTTACACATCTACATTTTAAAAAAGAAAGAAAGAAAAAAAGAAAAAAAAAGCTTGTGGAAAAACAGAGCAATAAAAACGCAGAACTATATTTTTTCAATTATCTTTTCATTTGTTTTTTATTTGGAAATATAGTATAATACACAATAGTTTGGGCATACCAAGCAATTGATTCAATGCGATGACCCTGACCAGCCCTGCCCTGACAGCACACTTGAAAATGTATCTTCTTTAGACTGCAAGTACCAAAGGATCACGAGTCATGACAAAAATATTCTGTTATGCGGTATCAATATCAGACCGAAGCGGCCCGCTGCATATACCTGTGTGAATCTGTTGGGCGTGTACCTCAGTGCAACTCCACAAGGATCCAGTGGACGAGCTTATCTCTCTGGTTTTGGCCTGCGTTATCAATACTCGACTGATAGTCTCCAAAAAATCAGAAAGGACAGCATGGATTTGAACGTGGAAAGATACGCAAAATATAAATACTTATAGCCCTCATTCCGCAGGCTGCAGGAAAGACGACAAAAGCTCCTTTTGAGGTCAGCCCAAGACACAACACGGAATCCCAAACAGCCTGCTTGTAATAATGGACTTGGTTAGCCGTGGCGTTAAAGGAGATAGTAAACAAGTGGCTACAAAATAAATAAGCACACAAAAACAGAAACACATTACATTCTGATCCGTTCGGACTCATTATTTGGTCACACCAATACAGATTCAAAGTCACATAGGCGCCGTCATCCTACAACCACCACTTTTCTGATTTCAAAAACAGAAAAAAAAAGTTAAACAAATCTTTTGATTACAAAATACACTGAATCAGTTAATTAGCGACTGCTAATTTTTCGTGAAAGGAAATTAAACAAGGCGTCTGTGAGTCACAATAATATTAACATGGGCCCTCGCAAGCACACAGTCTTGGCGGGGACAAAAAAAAAAATCCTTTTCTACATTTTTTCCTCAAAACCGAGTCTGGAGAGCGAAAGCAAAGTCCACATACTGACTTTATTCATGCTCACTCGTTAGGTAACTCAGATCGCAGGATACTGTTGTCCTCGAACTTGAAATTAACCATTGAGCAGTGTTGTTGTTGCTCCTGTCTCGGCCATTGTGGTACACAATGTACACTGGGAGAGTCACAGCCGGAGAGTCAGTCTGTCTGTAAACGCAGTCAGTCCCCACAGCAGAGGACCAAGAAAGCTGTGATGATGCTGTTTTGACCCCTAAAGCAGAGGATTAGACGTATAATATTGTAATCTATCTCTGTTCAGTTTCTTCTCCTTCATGCGGCGGTTCTGAAACCAAATCTTCACTTGTCGGTCGGTGAGGTTGAGCATCCGAGACAGTTGCAGGCGTTTCTCCTTGTTAATGTACACACTGAAAAAGAATTCTCTCTCAAGTTCTCTGATTTGATATTTGGAATAAGGGCACCTTTTCTTGCGGGTTCTCTGTCCATCTGGAAGGCAGAAAAAGAAAGCCGGTCACCGAAAATATACACATTTCAAATTAGCCATGACTATGTTACAAAAAAGATTTATACGCCCTGGATGTTGCCCAGATTACGCATGAGCGGATTTCCTCTACATAAAGCATTAATAGCATATTTCCCATTTCAACATTTCAACTGCCACATATAGTGATATTATATTACACTGGAAAGATTACCAAACCATTTGTGCTGGTTCGCTAGACAATACACTTGGGCTTTGACCTTTCCTAGCAAATGAAAACAACGTCACTTTCAAACACAAGCAACTAATAGCAACAGGAAAATGAGAGCGTGTTGCATCAGACAGGCTATATGAAAATATTATGGAACACATAAAGGGGGAAATGTACATATTGAAACACAGAGTCTATGATTGCTTTAACACAAGAGCTCATGTGTGCTAAACCTTAAACCAGAGGCGCAGCCCTCATTACATGCAAGTGCTCTTTTAACACTAAGAAAGCGTGAAACAAGCACGTTTATAACACATGGAATTAACGCGGGTCACTATAAGAATTCACAATCATAACTGGGTGCTTTTAGGAAACGTCAGGGAGTGTTACAGAAAAAATCACCGGCCTGATGTCTTTCACGGCCAATTTCAATTCCAAACACGTGATCCTGCAGTTTATAACAAAGTTTTGTTGGGGGGTGGGGGGTCTACAGGCCCTCTATAAACCTTATATGCTTATAAAACAGCATATAAAATTTTTAACAGCAGCGCGCAAGATTGCAAACTTTCTCTCATAACCAAGGCGCTGACTTTAATACGTACTGCTGCTGCTGGATTTCTCCTCATTGTTGCCGGAAGATAACTCCGGGCTGCTCGTCTCATCCCGCTGCTCCTTCGCTTCGGTATCCCTGCACGATGGTGCGTCCTCGGGCGCAGAGCTGGGCTGCTTGGTCGCCGTTTTGTCCCCTGAGTAGCCATTTGTGGAGGAGCTTTCCGACGCGTTCCCGTACGCCGTTTCGTAAAATTGGTCGAAGGCTTGTGGCAGCACGCCATTCCTGCCCACGTTCCCGTAGAAATTGGTGGCAGCGGAGCCGGCGCTGGTATGGTGGTGGTGGTGGTGGTGGTAGGCGGCGGCTGCGGCTGCCGGGCTGTTTTTACCGAACATGTCCCCTACGACGGCGGTTTGAGCTGAAAGACAGTCCCGGTGCACCATGTCTTCCGCGGTGGGGTAACCGTGGGGCAAGTTCCCCCGGTGCGGCCATTTACCGGACGCTTCAATGGCTGCGTAGTCCCTGAACGTCACCTCTCTGACGGGTTGGACCTGCGGCAGGTTAGAGGAGTAAGAGTATGTCATGGGGCGGGTGGACGGGGTCTGGGATAAAAACGAGGGAAGACCGGAGAAATCAGCCCCCGCCGACACGTAATAAGTGCAACTGGGCAAATACATGTTCGATCCGACGGGGACCCTTTCGTCAAAATCCATCATCGTAGTTCACCCTCTACTATAACTCTATGTTGGGGTTTGATTCTTCTATAACCGCCCTGAACATGGCTCTGAAGCGCCGTGCCTCTTGCCTCTTTGAAGCAGGTTCGCTAAGCAGAAATTTGGAGACGTAGGCTGACGTGGAGAGCCATCTCCATCCACTCCACGGAGGAGGAGGTCACGTGACCACGCGGCAGAAATTGACAGATTTTCAGGCTGTGTATACGCGCGCGCGCACGTGTGTGTGCGTGCATGTGTGTGTGTGTGTGTGTGTGTGTGTGTGTGTAGGAAAGAGAAGGAGTGTGTTTGTAAGAGTGTAAAAGCCATGACTGCTATGTGTCCTAAAGCTTGACATTGGTGTTTTATCGCTATGTCGGCTTAAAAACGAATTCCTTAACATGCAACGAAGTCAGAGGAGGAGAAATTGAATGCTGGCTGTTAAAAGACAGAAGATGGATTTCAATCGAAGCTTTAGCCAAAATATTAATATCAATTTCCCAGATGTTCTGTGTTTTTCCACACTATCTGCCCTGGAAAAATATGTGTGCGTAATTTACGCTTTTCGAGTTATCCTTGTTTTTAAATTATGCACCCAATGTGTGAAAAATAAAGGATTCTGCAAAACAACTTATCCGAATCTTACCTGACAATAACATTCACCAAAGCAGCTTTACTTTGCAGAGATAACATGGACCTGAATTGGAGGAAGGAGACAACCAGCTTATCTCCAAAGTCTGCTTTTAGAAACCTCTTAGTCATCATCGTTTGGTGGTTTTACAACATAGCATTTGGCCCAGTGGGCTTTTGGTTATCAGGGTCATGTTCAAAGTAGCGGCTAATGTTTCAACTGGCTACAGCCTTGTGTTAGTACCAGTATAACAAACTGAAATTTGGACAAAATAAAAACAGAATACGATCTTGAAATATATGGTGAACAGAATACAAATTCAACCAAACACGCACAAAGATATTTTGCTGTTCTGTGAAACCTTATACCAATAAACAACTATGTAAATTGTAACCTGTAGATTAAGAAATACATTTTATCAGTGTAATATTTTGTATATTCTTTTGAGTTACAGCAGAAGGAACCGACATGTACTTCTCAGAAAGAGTGTTTAGGCTCACAGGGGAAAAAAGAATTGATAGTGTCGCCTACCATCATTAAAACAGTCTGAGTCAATAGTCAAATGTTACAGCCTCTTGAAAATAAAGCATTTATTCTGTTTTTGAATTATTCTCATCCTACAGCTCTGTTTTGTCTCACATAAAGATTTAATGGAGCCAATAACAGCTCCAAAAACCGTAACATTCAAGCCCGCTCCACTTTTACGCACGGTTATTTCTTTACGTTCTGGTGCAAATATTTATTCAAATGTGCGTCGTCCAGAGAGAAGATAGTCTGCAGAAATATACAAGACACTTATGTTTTGATGAATAATATTTTCCATCAGATCACTTTTTTTTAATCCATTCCCATGACGCATATACATATTTGCGTAAATCCCATCAACATACACACAAAATCAAAAGAATAACATTGTTTCTTAACAGATCTTGTTGCGCAGGATTTTAAAAGAAAATATCTGCAGATATATATCACAGTTATAGTTGTAAATATGAAAGCAACATTTTCTCCGGGAAGCTATTTTAAAATTCTGATTGTGAATATCCTAAATATCTTGATAAACTGTCATTGAGGAACAGGCAAATAATTCTGTACTAGAAATTAATTTTCTTCTGAGGTTAAAGCAAAATGATTTAATAAATGCCCAGTGTCTTTTTATATGAATGAATTTCCTCTATGTGATTTGGTAAACATGCCACAGTGCACATTCCCTGGCTCTGTGCTCTGAGGCCACCGTGGAGCTTGTTTTGGACAGGCTGCAACCTGACTCTAATGTGCTGTGAATGAGAGACCTGAGCTCGGATTAAGACCGCCGCGGCTGGCCTGGCCCCACAGCCCGATGTGCACATGGGGATCCAAGGGGCTCCTGATGGCACATGTGAAACACAACCTTAAAATATCACACACACTAAGACGATGCAAGCACCAACTAACGTCCGTTGAGTGTATGAAAACAGGGGAAAAGAGACATGTAGCTTGTGCTATCCACCGTCCGGCTTGCAGGACATTTTATTTGGATAAATTGCAGAGGCACAAACAACTCGAGTGTCTTTGCGACCACACGCTCCGCCTCTCAGTCAATCCAGACAAATTCTACGACTTGTGCTGAAGCTTTTAAGCTGTAATTGAGCACAGGATACCCAGGAAAACCAAAGCCTGCTCTGCACAGACCTGCGTTTTTATAGCTGCTATAGTATTCTGCTGTGCTTTTTTTCCTCTCCGGCCAGACAGACACCACAAAACAGGCCAAGCGTGATAGGAAGTCGCCACCTACACGGACTCAAAGTCAGCAGCTGAAGACTTTCAACGAGATGTAAACATGTCTGTGCACAACTAAGGTAAGTTTCTACTTAGAATCAATAAGACTAAACATTTTGTTAGATCAATAATAAAAAAAATATTCTAAAAACAAAGACAAGCAATGCATAATTAAAGCCAATGTTATGCCAAGTGTGTTTTGTATTAACAAAGTCGTTGTGCTGATCCTCTGACCATCCTTCTTGGTCATCAAAATTGCAGTCTGGAGCAGCGTAAAGGCTCTCAAAGCCAAAGCTTTGTCTGTACGGTCGACTTCAAGTTCGGGGGAGGGAAAGGGTCCTTTGCAGAGAGCAAAGGGCCCTCTGTGCCCCGGATGGAGTTCCTTTAATTGCTTTTGCATTTACGCAGGCTTTAGGTTACAAGATTGGTCGATAATGTGAGACTGTAACTCTAAACTGAAGAAAAGTCTAATGAACTTCACCTTCGCACTAACAGGGAGCACATCATGGTATGTAGGCCCTTAGTATAACTGCCTGTTGGTTTGAATTTAGCTCTAAATATTGTCCGTAAAGAGTAAAGCATTATTACTTAAGCATGCAATTTGGCAGAATTGTACCCATCAAAACTCTTTAGGTTGATGAGATCATCTTATGCGCTTTCACGCAAATGCAACATTCAGTTTTTATCAGATTTTGGACAAAACAGGACACATGGAGCCTAAAAGATAAACATCAGAGCGCTGACTTTTGGTAATAAATGACCACGAGTGGCTATGAAGGATTAGATATAGAGATAGAATCCGTATATTTACTCAAGGACATCGTTTTCTTGACCTCTAAGTCAAAAGAGGAACTTAATTCCATTGCTATGTTTTCGTATTCGCGCGTGTACACACATATATGAACTCACACATACACACTTGGTTAATGTTATTTGGCTCAAATCAAACACTAGAATCAAACATTAAAATCAAACAATTACATGAAATCACAGACTTTGACACAACACATTTCACTTAAAATGAAGTGTGACTCTTATCCTGGAGGGATAGAGGCGCTGTGGTTTTGTCAGGAAGTGAATGCGACAATTGCGCGTGCCATAAAACCTTGTTAGACAACAAGTAAACAATCAAGTGTGGGGAGGATCTGAAAGTACAGTTTAACGCCACGTCAGGTAGGCCTGTGGGCTATAAAGCGAGCTAAATAGACGCATTCAGTGTCTTGCAAAGAAACCTCCTGTAGTTTAAGTCTTCAAGTGAAATAAAAAGCCCAGAGCTTTACTACGGGCTGGTTTTTGTTTTCATTTTATGGTAGAAAAAATGGGCCACCACACCTGCGCCTCAAAGCATCTATTGACTATATTCTTTATCTCAAAATGAAAACACCGTCTTTAGTGCAGTGTGCTGAGCAGGAGGCCGAAAAGACACACACAGGATGTCTGACTATAGAAAAAGAAGACGGGTGCTAACAGGGAGCTTTTGATGCACATGATTCAAAACACGCATTAAAAGACAACAAAATACAAATTAACTAAACGTGGAGGCTTGTAGCGCGTGCATGGAGCAGTTAAGCACAACCAAAACAAAACCAGACCCACCTGATTAATACATGAATAATTTGCAGCCAAAACATCTATTAAAAAATCTAAACTGCCATTTTAACATGTGGTTATTTTTTTTTTCTTCTGTGGTATATTTACACAAGATGATATATTTTTTTTAAATCATGTTTTTGAACTTGAATGGTACATGGTCTTGGCTAAGCTGTTATCATGTTGCTGGCTACATTGATACGCGCCTGGAGTTGCGGGGGGATTATAAAACCATCAGACTGAAACACGAAACAATCAGAGCTTGCACTTACTTGCTGCGCACAAATGAACGAGCAGGAATGTGTGTATCAGTACATTTGAACCTGATTCGCCGCACAACTGTTGATTTATCCACAGGTGACAGAAATGTGGGGCCGACAGCGATGGCGACGACAGAGGGGCCAGGCGGACCACACAGGGGCCATGCAGGCAAACTGACCAACTCCACGGTCAACGGGAGCACCTCTGACTCACCAGTGGGGACTCACAATGCTGGATTAGCCTGTAGAGGGTATCCTGGGAAACAGGGCGTCAGCAGCAGACGGGCCTGTATGGACAAAAGGACATAAAGTGGACTTCAGTGGGGGAATAAATGAAATTATACAAAGGACAAAAGATAGAAGGAACAGAAAGACTGAAGGAAATGTACGTGTAGTCACAGGGTTTCAACTTATTTTGGAAAAAAGGAACCCACAGTGTGCAGAGATGGCGACTGTGTCAGAACACCCTCGATTTAATTTTGCTATTGATATCTGAACAGATATCACATTCAGAGCATTACAAACTCAATTTCCTATTAAATACCAGGCGTCAAATTGCGTGCGCATGCTAAAAAATAAAATAACTGTAATGAAGAAACTGATTCAGCTCGCTGAGAAATAGACCTTGTGTTTTTTAAAGGGTGTTTTTCTCCCTAGGATGCTTTGATTAAAAAGAAAAAAGTCTGGATGTTTGATTTTACGCATCTCTGCTGCATTTGACTTTAGATGTGATCTCCCACAGCAATATCAAATTAAATGTGTAACAGTCGCAGATGCTGACGTGCCATTTGCACAATATTGAAATCAATACGCGACGCTTGTAGTTTATTTTTGATGCTGAATTTTGAAATTTATAAGGACATAGCGTATCAAATGTGGAGAAGCAGGTCGTTTTTTTGTAAATGTGAAATTCTCGGTGACACATAGAATATAGTTTGCGCCAAATAGAGCATTTAGATCATATATATTTAAGTCAAGTTTATTCGATTAAACGCAAATGGGAAACTTCGCCGCTCAGTTACGCGCCCCGCTCTTTTATTTCTACCTTATGAAAACCACAATATTATTTCACTTTTGTGTTGCATCTTTTTTGATATACCAGATCAAATTAGGATGAACGGATCTCACTTCTCGGTACCGCAGTGTCATTCACGGGAATGAACTGTTCCAAGTTCTTACAAAGGCGGCCATCAAATCATCTTACAATAACTGTTTCTATGTAGTGTAGTTAAAACAAAAATCTGTTTTACTTGGGGAATTGTGGATTAAAGTTGTAACTATCATATCAGACTATTGTCCGGACAGGATATGAACATGAAGCACCTGCAACTGTTCTTAAAACATTTCCAGAGACGCACAGATTTCCAGAATCTGCCATGACGCTATTTTTGTAAACATTTCTCGATATGAAATAATCAATAAAACATGCTTTCTTCTGCAAATATATCATGTACAAGTTCATGTTTATTCCTATATTATAATCAACGTGGAACATGTATTTTGTCTTGAGGGAATTCATTTAGTTAGTGCTTAAGCAAACAAAAGCCACGCGAATCAAACCGACCCCGTGTTACCACTGTAATCCGTGCCGCACATATACACGCTACATATCACTCCTTTAAAAAACAAACCTAGTCTATACACCCTTCACAAATGAACACAGTAAATTATTTGGCATTTATATTTCAAGCCACATGAGATCAGGGCAGGAAAACACCGTCTGCGGTGGGAAAAAGGCGCCGACTGAGGCTTTCACATAATCTCGGTCAAGTGCCTCTATTTGACCGCTGTCACGCTCCTGGATAAACGTATGTCTGCTCAGGTCTTTGTGGTGTATTACGAGATTATCCTCCAACCTCGCGCTTTCAAGCTTGACCAGAGCTATATTGTTGAGCGGCTGAAGGTTGCAGGCCCAGCCACTATTACGCACAGAGACAGCGAAGGTCAATGTAAAGAGCAATGGCTGGCGTTGGCCCTGTCTGTGTTCAACCGCGTCTGACAGGCAGGCGAGAGACACACCGGGCTGCTTGTGGGATATGTGGTCAATTTGACCTAACCACTGATCCGACAACCTCACAATTTATCAGTTTATTCCATAATACAGAGTTTCTGCCTGGATTATTTACAGATTCTGGTCATGTAAAACAGCATTTTTTTTTTATTAATTTGAAGAAACAAATAAATGATCTGATCATTTCTTTAAAAAAGTCCATTTTCACTGTTGGTATAACATTGAATTTAAGAATAAAATGATTCAGGCTTCAACATATATTTCATTTGAAAGCGCACCTTATAGGCAGTTATTCCCTTCTTACCTCACCTCATTCACTGCTTTGTTTTTAAATCAAATTACGCATTGAACTCCACGTGTAGCCTTTTAATGTCAGGTTAATTGAACTCTTTCTGAGAACTGAAATTAACTGTAATTCACTATTTTTGCCTTAGTGTGGCGGCAGAACTCAATTTTTGCGCAGCGCACAGCCCTGTGCTTCCTGCCACAGCCAGGACGGGCTGTCCCATCAAAGCTGGCTCCTGTGAGGAGGAGGGATAAGGCGGAGCATTGTGCTGTGAGCTTTGGACTGTCATGTCATGTGTCAGAGCGGAGGCGGGACTTGCGGGCTTGTTTTGGTTCTCAGCAAGCCAATCAAACCGCCGCTGTGCTCCCTCGCAGCCAATGAGCTGCCTTGCCATTCACGTCACTCAAATAAACATCCGCTCTACCGCCTCAGCGCTTCCGCTCTTTTGTGTTTTTGGACTACAGGATGTGCCGAGCAGTCAGACATCACACTTTTTTTTCACCCATCTCTGAGTTTATTGTATAACACGTGCGCGCCCCGCCGCGCCTACGTCAGAGGACGTGGGAGCAGGGCGACGCCACATTCCGTGCTCGCGGACGCGGGCTACTGTGTTTTTCTCAATCAGCCAGCTGGCCATGTGTGGATCATAAACACAAGATATTAGACAACTCACTATTTCATAATACTCTACAATCCAGCCTGTAGTGGAGTGTGTTGTGGAAATAAAGCACAATAAATGTTTGTTTGTTTTTAAAGATTCTGAATATCTTCCTGATTTTACAAAACTGAAACAAGAAAACTATGAATAATAAATTCAGCTCCCATATTAATGAGACTACATTAGAAATGTGCTTTGATTGTTGAATTAAACATCCATTAAGATAAGAAAATGACGTTAAAAATAGATTGTATGTCAAATATTAAAACAAAAATATGCATGGCTACTACTGACAGCCACGTCACTACAACTATAAGGTAGCCTATACTATAATGTGCATAGTAATGACGATGATGATATAAATAATCTTATAATTGAAGGATTTATATAGATGAAGCATTTTAAATTATTTAAGTCTATTTGAGCTGAGAGGACGCTGACAATCAATCTTCTGTATCTTTTAGTGAGTGAAGCCTGTCACGTCTAGGCCTTATATAGCGCAAAGCAAAAACCACACAAATGAAATACATAAATGAAAATTAAAAATAAGATGTACAGTATTTGTAGCCTGTGAGCAATACGCAATTCGCGTTCAATTACTGAGAGAAGCAAAAACAAAACATAAGCTGAATATATAGGCCTTATGCACCCACAGTTTAAGTCTATATGCCGTCAAGAGAAGCCACTTTACGCATGAAGCTGTTCCATTTAACAGAATGTCTTATATCACCAAGTAAATCAGCCTAACAGGTGGGAAAGCCAGCCAGAGGAGCCGCAGCTCAGAATAAGGAGGGATTTGGTTTCATGCCTGACATTTGACTGCCAGTAAGACTGAATCATGTTCATTAATGCAGCCAAAACAAGCATGGTGGGAAGTTGCGTTTTTTGGCTGCAGCTGCGTTACAACTGCACTGAGTCAGTCAAAAAGGAAAATCTTTCAGAACCAGTAGGAAATATTCACAGACGCCACTGAAGGTGCTGTCGACAGTGAACGGTTGCCGTTGCGAGTGAATGGGGCCGGGGCAAAGCTTCTAGTGCACTGATTTTTATTCTTTTATTTTCGCACACCACAAAACTACCAGCGAGGGTCAGAATTATTTTATACTAAAAGCATTTTACCTCATTTTGATACAGCAAGAATATGTCCATATATATTTTTAAGTATATATTTTTAATGAAAACAAAATCCACCAATCACTCAGTAAAATTAATAAATTAAATGCAAATATATATATTTTTTCATCACATTGAGCGAGTGGAATTTTTTGGCTGATTATATTTTGCTTCTTATTCCGGATTGATTAGATAATCACGGAAAGCTTAGAGAAATGGTACAAACTATTTTCAAAGAAATAAAAATATTTCTACTGCATCCTAAAATTTGTTGACATGTAGGTATATATATTTTTGCACACACTTAAATTCCAAAAGCGTAAAAAAAAAAAAAAAGACAAAGAAAGAACGCGGGTGAATCCTTAATAATTCATGTGTATTTGAACAAGATAAATTGACACCAGGCCGCCTGCGAAGTGTTTGCAACCAGTCGCGTAAATGTCGCCAACATTTAGAGATTCAAGCTGACAAATATTTATCTGATCAGAATATAGAAACACATACAACTTTCGACGTCAACGTAAAGTAGCTGCATCTCTGTAAACGCAAACTAATAATGCAATGTAAAAACAAAAATAAAGCAATTTATGAAAATAGTGATTCGTATTTAAAAACTAATCCAGAACTGGATGAATTTTACCTTTAACATTTGTTTATGAATAAAACAAAAATCAGAGAAATAAATATAAATTCAACAAATCGACCTCAAACTGTCCTTCAATATTAAACGTCCTTGCAAACATTTATATATTCAAGCGATTGTTTTCACTGTGCAGTCACAGTGAGGGTGAGTAAATGGGTATATTTTGATTTGTGTTTTATTTATATTATTTATCAAAATAAAGTTGTTTTTTATGCACCTTCCACCTGCGCCTGTGTTTATTACGGCTGACAAAACATTCAGGTAATTATTACAGAATCAAATTAAAAATTAAAATTATTATTACTATTATTGATATTAGTATTCATTTTTAATTATTATTAATTATCATTATTATATTTAAACTCTGTATGGATATTTTGTGATCATTGACAGTCCACTGAGCATATCACAAAGTCGCCGCTAGATGGCGATGTCAGCCTATATTTCAACACACACCAGCCTAGTTTGACTGATTTCTCCTTCTCCCAGAGGCAAACACAACTCTGCTGCACATTGCAAATATTAGACTTTCAAAATAGAAAGTTGAATAAAATATTACGTGATAAAGAGAGCTGCTACAAACGCAGAAAAGTCGCCTCCACTAGTGAAACCATATTTTTCACATGAGGCCTTAAAGGGCATTTAAAAGTGTAGAAGTAATGGGGGATCAGTTGCGTGTCAAACTGTAACCTGGGCTATCAGCACAGTCTGATGCCATGAAAAGGATCCATGTTCAACATAACATAAAATTCAACCAAGTCCATATTTTATTGGGACGGACTTTAACACCGACATACTGGGACTCACACACAAATAACCTGGATATCATGCCGGAATTTACTTTATATACAACCACATGAATACGCACACATTATAAAAAGCTATGATTGATATGAACACATATCCCGAACGATTATCTAAGCATTATAACAAGAATTGCACCATGGATTGGATATGAATGAGAGAGCACGGGTTCATATGATAAGACTAAACTTCATACAAGCTAAGCATGTGAGTAGGGTTTTTTTCTTTAAAAAAAAAAAAAGATAGTCAGGAGAGATTAATATTTAACATTCCCAAGGTCCAAATCCGTCACACCGTCACTTCCTGTGAATCTTCGCTTTTTTTTTTTATCACTCTCGTTAAAGTTGCAGATAAAGGCGTAGCTCGGTGGCGCACACCTTTCTGAACTGGGGTCAGTTTCCCTGTGTTGAGAGTGAGCACGCCAAAAAATGTTTAAAAAGTCACAAATACTGCAGCTACATATTTTCTCTTTCCCCCCCACTTGACTCCTTTAACAATATTTATCAACAAGTGGCAGGAAATGGAAGGTCCAACATCCAAGGCCTCAGAAATTTTGTTCCGGAAGCTCCATTTGGCAACATACAAATAAATCATTCAGTCAGAAAAGAGTTTTGTTGTTCCAATCCATGAGTCCGTGTGTGTGTCATGTGTGTGTGTGTGTGTGTGTGTGTGTGTGGGCCTTGTTCATCTTCCACAGATATTGTCCGTAATCAAAAACTAGCTGATGGTTTTCAATTTGTTGACAACTTTCTTCTCCTTTACGCGTCTGTTTTGAAACCATATCGTGACCTGCCTCTCGGACAGGTTGGTCTGGGCAGATATCCTCCTCCTTTTGTCCTTCGTGATAAATTTATTGGCGGCGTACTCGCGCTCGAGTTCCTTCAGTTGCACCTTGGTGTATGGCACGCGCTTCTTTCTTCCACGTCGATAAGAGCCAGACTCTCCTCCTGCGTGGGACACCGCGTCTGATGAAATTAAGAGACAATAGAAGCTGTCATAAGCTGCTTCACAAGAAGTGGTCAGGCTTCACGTTCACTTTAAAAACAATATTTTTGCCTCCAGTAAATAGAAATGTTCTCATAACTGAGCCACAGATTTCAACTGGCTTTCAAAAAAATCAAATATTTTAAAATTTCCTGGCTAGAATTATGTCTTACATCCCTAAATAAACGAGAAAATGAAGCTGCCCACTCCTCATTAATAATTACTTAAAAATACACTTTTATGGACATGAAACTTAAATATTCTCAGCGCGTAATGTTTTTCTCAATTCTTGTGGTAAACTAAACATTTTCCATTCCTTACATTATCTAAGTCATTTTATTATAACTAAATTATCTGTTGTGTGTTTTATTCAGCAGGTTGACACAGCAACTGACATTTAATACACTCCATTCTATGTGCGCACCCTGTTTGCAGTGTAGACACACACAGACATGTCAAACTGCTCTGTTCTGAAAAGGCTGGACCCTGAGGGATGTAGCCTACCTGGTATGGAGGACTTCCACATGTGTCCAGGCTGAGGCTGCTCCTTGGCGCAGTAAACCTGGCCGTTCCAGCCGTTGGCGGCGAGTGTCCATGGTTGGTAGCTCTCCATAGGCAGCAGGGACTCGTGCCTGGCTTCTGACGGCGCGCTGATAGTTGGCACCACAGGAACGTCCAGGTAACTGGGGACAGGTTGGTATGGGCCTGAAGGGTAGGTCGGGTAAAAAGCGAACTCCTTTGCCCGAGAGGTGAAGTCGTCGCCCGAGGCGGACGTGTCCATGTATTTCTCTCCATATGCGGAGGGGGGCTGCGCTCCGCACGACTTTATGCTGCTGTGATGCGACATTCTGCACGGGTAATAGCCGCTACCGAAGTACCCATATGGCAGGGACGCGCTGGAAGAATTCTGGGCTGCAGAGCAAGGGCTGCACTGTTTCACTGGCTCGCCCATACCAGAGGAGGGCACGTCGCTGGACGAGTAAGCCGTGCTGGGTGCCAGGGACGCGGGGTGCGCCATCAGATTCCTACACTGGTTCGCAGCAAAGTTGCCACCAGCAAAACCCTCCATGTTCTTGGTCACTTCATCGGAACCGCCGCTGTTGTCGTACAGGAACATCACCGACGGGTCGACCCAGCGAGGACGGAGGAGCAGTGACGTTGTCATAGCACGGCATCCAACATTGAAGCTTCTGGCTCTTTTTTAAAAAGCACAGAGACTGAGAAAAGGAGATACTGGTTCCCAGAGAGTAATGCCACTCTGACGCGCACAAGAGCGCAGAGGTTGCGCTGTCATTGGCTCAGGCGTTACCACGTGACCAGGCTATGCAAAGAGGACGGTAAACAGCAGCCAGTACAGATAATTAAATGGAGAAAAATGCGGCGAAGTAAGGTGACCGTACCTATAAAGGGATTTAGCTTTCTTTCGTGTGTGCTTCACTTGAGATGGATGCTGTCCTTTTTTTAAAAAAAAAAAGTAAGATACACATAACAGCAGTCTGCTTTTTATTCACATGAGATTATATTTCAGGATTCCAAATTAATTAATTGGACAATAAATTACTTTAAATGTATATTTTCTTATGTGTGGAGCTCAAGCAAGAGTCGATTATTGGAAAGTGGTGAAACATTTTTTTTTTAAAAAAGGGGTAAAAGCAGCTATGACTCAGCCATCTACATATCACGAATATGCATAGCCTCATGGCCTTTACGCACGAACACTGACCAGCCTTTGTCCGCGTCAATACAGGAACTGGGTATTATTACGCAGCCATTTGCCAAAGGAGATTCCAAGTAATACAAATATGATGCTCAGTTATGTGTGTTGCAATGTTGCGCACGACCTACGAGGAATTAAACATTCAGCCGCCCATTGATGCATAGACACACTGTGTAGTGTGTTATACGGGTCCGTTCGTACTCTGTACAGATATGCGCATTCAGTATGGAAGGGAGAACAGCTATAGAGAAGTATGATAGTCGTCATATTTAAAGTGATCTAACTTACGCATGCAAATATCTCTAGAAACATAATCAGACATGTCCCCCTCTCAGTGTCCCCACACCACTATCAGCCCAAAACAAAGAAAATCGGATGTAACTTCATAGTTGTAGATGAATATCCCAGACACGAGACTTCCGACATGTTTACAATATGCAAAGACAGAAAACAGCTCTCCACTTGGCAGTGCTTGCATGTTTTTACATAGGAGGTAGACGCGGCTGGAGGCCAAGGTCAAGTTGAAAGTTGCTGTCTAGCCATCCAGCCTGTCTGGCTATTCAGGCTTTGAAGGGACCGTCTGAGCGCGTGAAAAGAGCGGAAGAAGGGTGAGAATTCCTGTCCCAATGAAAGCTATTGGAGGACATTAACTTTTACTATCATTTTGTTTTCTACCACCGTTTATTCTCACGAACTAGTCTGTGCCCGCTGCACTTGGGTGGTGCGTACTTTTGTATCACAGCATTGGAAATATAAAAGGAATGCTGTTTTTTTTATTAGCAGATCTTTGGGGGTGTTTTTGGCAGATACGTGTGAAAATCATTTTGATCTCTGAAAAGAGGGGACGTGATAGACGTGTCGTGTCGTGTGTGTGTGTGCGTGTGTGTGTGTGTGTGTGTGTCTGGCCTGCTGGTTTGTGTTTACGACCAGTCGCTCTCCGTCTATTCTGTGTTGGAGGAAATGGACCTGGTGGAGCCTTCACTGGATTTGTTAGCAGAGTTTTAAAATCCAGCATGAGCTTTGGCCCAATTGAGAGTAATTGTACTGGTGTGTTATCTGCTATTGGGGGATAAAATCGACTTAAAGAAGAGGCTGCAACTCAAATGCGTAAAACACGGATGCAGATGTTTAGTTTCCCGCCTATATGCGTATAGTGTTTATGTAAATTAGAAAAAAAGCTTCTTTGGTCTCATCTGCTTCCTTTGATATGTCTAAAGCCAAACTCCCACGCAGTAACACCACCGTGACATAACATAAAATCAACTTAAATATATAAAATTAATCTGAATGAAACAGAAATTGAAACAAAAGTCTAATTTTACAACATATCACAAACTACACGATTTGAAAGCCCAGAATTATGAACTGTGAACACTGGTCAGGCGGTTCTGATTTATAAGAGGAATGTTCTCAACCATTGGGGCTTTTGTGTTGTAGGTCTGCAGACACTGGAAATAACAGTGTTGTGAAACTTTGAACAAAAAAAGTGCCGACCAGAGCAAATCATATGCTGAAATTATTTTCTTCAGCAAGAACCAATATTGATAGTTGGTGTGCTTTTGTAGCCACAAAAAAATATTAAAATGCACTTCATGATTTTGTATGTGGGGGAGGTGCATCATGTCTGTTAGATTGGATCTACGTGGGTCTGCTTTATTTTTGATTACATTACACTACATTACATTACATTCAGTCATGTGATGGACGTAATGTGTCAACTTTAATGCAAATAACTGAGAAAATTATTATTATCATTATCTTTAATATCTTGGCCTGTGTTAATTAAAACAATAGCCCTTTAATAAAAGCCTTTTGGGGGTACACAGGCTTACACCGCTTGTTATAGTTAGTTACTATAACAGATGAGTGTTGATGCTGCAAAAAACGCAAGATCCGAAAACACAATAGGCTGCTGTTTGCTTTCAAAATGCAAAATATCTTCCTCCCTACATATATGTGCAATATGTAATGTGTGCTTTCTATTCAAGGTATTAAAGAATTTTAAATGCACAATTTCTCTGTTAACAATTAATCGAATAAAGTGTGATAACAAGCAATATTCCTATTAAAGTAAGTTTGAATATCTGTATTACCTTCGCGCGGAGGAATCCCAGCTAAAATATACGATATGATGCAAACGATGATACAGCCTGGATATGTCTCTGCGTTATCATAAAAGAACGGTTAAGTAATGAAATAATTCAGCAGCAACATGCAGAAGCTACTATGAGTCATGGAGTAAGTAAGTGCACAAGGCCTAGCCTGTTGCATTCTGCCTTGTAGCGCTTCCCTCTTTGCATGCAAAGCAAGCTTCAAAATAAACAAAGTCGCGTTAATCATTAACCGTCCCATACCTTGTCATGTTTGTCAGGTTAGATTTTACATCATCTCTCTGCATGAGCCCCAACATCGGGCTTTTTTGTTTTTTTTTTATATGCTGTAGGTTGTTTCCATTCAGGCATAATTTATGTTGTGTCCATGTTTGGATCATTTTATTCTTTTGAACAACAGTCCTGCAATCACCACAGCCCCGCGCCCTGCCAAGGTGGCCGCCGGCGCGCACATGTGGTCAGTCCAGACATGAGACATCCCAAAGTACAATGGACACACACACATTTTACTGGAGGGGCGCATATATTATCCCGCCAAGTAGACGCACATTTCACAATGGAGTTACGCTTATTGCTCACTTGTACAAACACTTATTCATGTTGATTTGGCACTGGATGCTGCTGAAAATGTTTGGAAGGTAGCACAGATCAGACTGACTGATGCTCAAAATGATATTTTCATGCTGTTTTATACAAGTTCCAAATAAGAGTAGTGAATTTAAACTATTCTTGATTTTGATATGAAACCCTCCCTGATGTATCTGAATGATCCTTGGAGGTTCCTAAGACTCCACTTTGGGACTTGGCAGCACAAGCATTTCTCTGAGGTCATTATCAAGGTTCAACCCCCTGTTTGTACTGGCATCCAAATTACGCAGCGCGGGAGAGAAAGAGTACATTTATTCCACGGCCTCAATGCCTGAAGCCTGGGTAAAGGTCTATATAAAGTTATGCTCAGCTATAAATTTCTGTCGTTAGTAGTATAAATTGTGTTATAAAACGGGCTGCTAAGACGAACTACACGCAGTCAAATTTCAGTCCTGTTGATGACACGTGTTTAAAGTAGACTGCTGTCAAAAAGTTGTCAAAACATAACAACCAATATGTTTTTGTGGTCAGAGCAGTGAACCACAGGGCGGTCACACACTTGACTTTTCCATATTTTCTGGACGGTCGCCTGCGGTGTGATTATGAAGGATTGCGTAAAAATAACAAGAAAAACGGACCCACTTCAGTCTCGGACACACACAGGAAGCCACCTAAAGGTCTATGGTTAACTGGAAAGTTTCACTCCTGAGGTGTTCTTGATGTGTGCGTTTGACTGACACGCTCGTTGCACGTTTCAATTTCTCCAGCAGAAGTCTTAAATGCTGCGTTAACTGCCTGCTAAAGCTATAGAATGTGAGCTGCATGGGAAATCATTTATTGGCATACAGGAATCTCACCAAATATAAAGGTCTCCAGTTTGTTTCATTGAAAAGTTCTACATCTGTTGTATTTTTGGGCACCGGCGTGGATGATGGAAGAGATATGGAGGGGCGAACAGAAGCTACTTTAACTTTCATCTTTCTGGCAGGAGTCTTTGTGCCATTCTGCCCCTTTAAAAATAACCAGAATTACATATTCATATGAACAATAAACATAATTTAAGTACCTGTATTATTTACTCTCTGTAGAAGGGTTACTTTAGGCCTATTGGTATTATTGCTATCATTATTACTATTATCATTATCATCACCATCATGCCGTTGTTTCTTTTGTTGGTAATTACCTTTATCTTCATCAGGATACCACGTGTCTGCCATTTTGGCCTTTTGCTTTGTGCACCCAGCACAGAGGCCGAAACCAAAAAACATATTTCTGACTCCATTTTTAGTAGCATTGTGCACCACAAAGAAAAGATGTAAATAAGGTACATTAAATACTGTAGAAACGTCGTGTAGTAACACACGATTTCATGCGTAAAATAAGACAATGCACTGGGGCTGAACACGCACACCTGTTAAATTTCAGAGTATTGGTTGTTGCCTTAATTTAAAAAAAAAAAAAAATACACATGCACATACAGTGAACTCAAAGCGCCGCTTACATGTTTATAAAGATGCTGGGTTGAGATTAATTTAGCTCTCTTTGTGATATTTTGGAGAAGCAGTCAAAAGAAAAACGAAAATAGTCGCAGAAGTTAATTAGCAGCTCTCGAATCAATCACCAGCAAATTGAAATGAAAAAGGCAGATCAGTGTAAACAGTGTAACTGGAAATGTATGTAATTATTTTAAAACTGGCTGTCGAAGATTATTAAGGCAGAATAAAACAAGAAATCTATTAGATTTTGCGTGTTTTATTTTGTTTAATTACTTATAAATAAAAAAAGATTATCCACTTTTTGGAAAGGTATCTCATCCTTTTCAAAAATTATTTATTAATATGTGATGTATGTTTTGTGATCGGTAATTTTGACAAATATGTTGTGTACTAAATTTCGGCTCCACTCAGATTCATTAATTTATAATGTAGCTGATAACAGCCCACGCAATGCCGTGCTCAAATGCAAACTCATCCAAAAATACCGTTTTCACGTTAGTTATCTTTATTTCCAGTGTGTGCGCATTAGTCAACTGATCCGTGGCAAATAATATAACTTATAGGTCGATATATGATTCAGAAACAATGACTTCTGTACTCCTTTTTGGGGCTGTCTGTAACACACTGTAAATCACAATCAAACCGGTTGGATGCCAGTCTGAATGCTACACTGCACCAACAAATCAGCATCTGAACTGCACTCATCGCAAAACGCATAAAATGTGAGGATAGTTCAAGAATTACGCACAGAAATGTCCGTATCTCCCTCTGGCCAAACGTCCATTACCACCATAGAAAATACTTAAAACAACCTGAAAAACATTGGGGCACACATAGATGACAGCAGCACTCTCTAAAAATAAAAACCCATTTGCAAGCAGACAGACTTGTAAATATCGCCTTTCTCAAAGATGCCAGGGACCCACCGACCAGTCTGAAGAATTACACGCACTCTTGTGAAACGTCAGGGCTTTGCACCTGGTGTGTTGCCTTGCTACTGCTGAATTGGTGGTAAGCCATGCCCCATGATGTTTTCCCCTTTTAATGGGGTAACACAGGCCTGATCTTAGTGGCTTGCTAAGCCTTACTTGTAATAGCGTCGGGGTTTGCAGGGATGGAGCAGGGAAGAGCGATAAAATCGGGTCTTACAGCGCAAGAGATTTCCAGCTGTATAGTCATCAGGACATGTTTCGCTCCAAGGTCAGCGAGTTAACTCTCTCGTAGCTGCGTCATCCTGTTTCAAGGCCAAGTTGAAGCAACGGAGACGGGAGGGGCCACGATAATGAAGGAGAGGTTATTTTCTTCCAGGTTCTTACTCTTTGTGTGAAACGCGGTGCACCTCAGCCAGCTGCACAATGCACATCCACCAAACCCATTCATGCGCGATTCTTTCACACGCTGAAACACTTTTTGTGCTAAAAGCAAATATTCTGGCAGCTCTGCACTGCCAGGGCCATGGATTGGATTACATGCGTACTGCGCAGGCTCCATGGTCAAGTTCAAGTTGGGCTGGCTAGTAAAACTGAGGGGCGCATTCTGCAGTGTCTGCCGCGGGGGGCGCTCCCCCTCTTTGATCTCCCCCCTACAAAACTAGACACTGAAGCAGAGCCGTGACTGCAGTCCAGTTTTCCTGCACTTCTGCCACCAAGAATGTGCAGGATTTAAAGATAAAGGATGTATTGACTGGTCATTTCTACATGTAAAAGCGGGTGAAAAAAAAAAGATTCCACAATCAGCAAACTCTCCAAACCCATCTGCTGTCCTTCACTATCTAAAACACACACAATATAAGTGACACTACTGTAAACCCACAAGGTCATTCATCTGTTGCGCAAAACCCTTTCTGAGTGTTATCTCCGGATGATCACAAGATCCCATCTGCCCTGGCCACAAACCATTGCATAATCCCCGGTAAGCAGCAAAACAATGGGACCTTTGCCATCTTTGGACACTACACTAAAAGACTGTAGTGAGCCATCTTTATTATTTTAACAGCAGACGTAAACAGCGTCTAACAACAGCTGAAATTTTGAGTCTAATGTGCCCGTGCAGCCTCGGATGTGATCGGTTTAAATAGCCTGTGCATTTTTAAAATACCCACAACAATGAATACACAGAAGATATTGATATGAAAGAAATGCACAAGCTCAGTTCATGTAGACGCGATTTTCACAGATGTACATCAGCAGGTCCATAAATTATAGGAACCAACTTCCTCAATCTGAATGTGGTGACTTCTGCCGCTGTGCCATAAATTTCGTGATGAACAAATTCAATTAGCCTTTCCTTTTCGGATTCAAAAGGATATTTATGGTTCTGTGAAGTCCCTTCAGTAGGCTACATTTCCAATAGTCTGTGGTCATTCATGAACAATTTGCAGACTGATCTTTAACTACTGTATAACAGATAACACTTTTGGTTCTGTCTCCAAAAGTAATACTCGCTCTATAGTTATTTAAACACAAGGAAAGTTTACGTCACTAAAACTGATTAATTAATTACAATATATGTAACAAGTACCAAATTGAAGTGATGTGTTGGAAAACTTGATTGAGTTATGGTTTCCATATGCAGACTCACGTTAGTTTTTTTCTAATTCTCAAAAGCAGCAATATGAGATCGTCAGAGAGTGAAGGGAAGAGAGAAAGAGAGGTTTACTTTTTTCCTTTGCTGGCCAGATGAAAGAGTCGGGGGAAAAAAAGCCAAAGGAATTTCCCTCAACTCCTCAGCTGGCGCGCTGGGGGAGGGGGCGGCCGCCGCTGGGGTCCCTTCCCTAATTCGGACAGGCGAGGGCGCACAAGGACAGCGGAGGCTGCAGCAGCTCCACAGTCTGCCTCCCTCTCCTCTCTTTGAGACCACATGACCGCACCTCTCTACACAACAGCATGGCCGTCTGACTACAGCACCATGTCCTACAGCTGCTGATGACAAATCTGATCTGAACTCGGGGAGAAAGCTGTTTCTAGAGGTTCTGATGTGATGCCTTTTTTTTCTTATCACAACCTGAAACGTTCCCAAAGATTAAATATCTGAGGACAGAGTGACCTGACAATGTTTTATTACAATGCATATGTTAAGGTAAGTAACCAGGTTCACTACTTTGAAATATAAACGCGTAAAAAGGACAGTGATCGTATAAGAGCTGCTCCCAAATACACATTGGATTTGTATATTTTCTAATATTTCCCCCCGGCAGTAGTGATGATGCATTTAACATCTAGAGTCGCTTGAACATTTGGCATAGTCAGCTGGTGCTCATATTTTTGGGTATAGGTTGCAAGTGGAGCAAAGGCAGAGTGAGCTTGACCACAGCCTGAAGAGGCATTAACATCAGAAAACATTCAGTGGACACTCTGTGCATTGCACCCTTCAGTTTAATATCAAGCATAGATTTGATGCAATTGTTAAATCCACATGAGGCCAGGGAGAGAGTGTGTTCCCTTAAGACACAGCGAGTTAATATGTGGTTAAGTTCATCATCTCCACCGCAGACCCTTAAGGTCATACAAGCCCCAAACAATTAATCTACCTTTCTCATTGTTTAGTGAATATTTACTGAAAGACTATAAATACTACAAGAATCATCCCTCAATGCTTTTTGTTAAGCACTGTCACTGCAGCACACCATGGTGTTGTATTGTTTTTCATTTCTTACAAATTGAATATTAATTTAAATCATATCTCATGCATAGATTTATATACATGATAATATTAGGCTACAAGACTTCTTAAAGAGGCACAAATAGAGTTGAAATATCTGTCGGGATTGTTTCGTCAATGCTGTTGACTTTTAAGACTTCATGTCAAATGGCCTCTTATCTAAACTGACCGCAAGACTTGACCTTTGAGGGCTTTACTTGACTCCACTTAAGGTGGAGATGAGAGAGGCATTAAGACAGAGGGAATGGGGAGAAGGGAGGGGAGGGTGAGGGCGCATTACATGCAAGGAAATAATTTTTTTTATTATTGATAAACATTACATTTTATTATTAGAATATGATGCAACTCTGCACTGCAGTAAGTGCAGTCATGTAGGATTACATGTATTTTAAGTTCATATAAAATTGTGAACTGAAAATTTTACTTTATTTTTTTTCTCATATTTTGTTAGCTCTAATAATAATAATAATAACAACAACATTTTTGTTTTAACTCCATGACTGTGGCGATACACAGGGAGAATGATAGAGACTGTTTTTGATAGCTGCTTTTTGTGCCCTCTCTGACACCCCCCATCTCAGTCTCAACGCTGCCACTGCTCCGTCTGTTTACCCATATCCAATCAATGCGTGTCGTCATCAGGGGGGGGACCATCATGACGACTGGCCTATTAAGAATGACAGCTCTGGAGAAAGAGAGAGAGAGGGTAAATGGTGATCCCTCCCAGCGCTCCCTCTGCGCACTCTGGAGCGCTCTTCTCTCAGGGTCAGACCGGATTGCATCCCTTCTTTTCCAGAAGCCTCTCCTTCTCCTTAGGACTCAACCCCCCCACCCACCTCCACCATCACTACACACACACACACCCCTCCAACCTGAAAATCATCGCCTTGGTTTTGACGGCTTGCACTCTCCCGCGAAGTCGAGGTTTTTTAAGTCGTGCTTGTGATGGAAAGCAGAGAGGAGATGGTGATGCTGGCGGAGGGAGGTCAGCTTGCCAAGAGCGGCTCTAATTTGTCGGGAGGCATCGGGAGCCCCGTGCGAGATCCGCAGGGGAAGCCGGGCCACAGGAGCTGTCTGAGCCCCGGCGCTGCGCCTTACTCCCGGGACAGAGCGGAAGTGGGGATGGAGGAGAGCGCACGGAGGAATATGTGCGCCGATATGAGGCCAGTTGGCACGTCCTCCTCTGGAGAGAGACACCGGAGTGATCATCCCCACAAAGACGGCAGCAGCTCAGACACCGAGTCGGACTTCTACGAGGAAATTGATGTCAGCTGCACGCCTGAAAGCATGGACTACCCAACAGCTAAAGGTAGGCTGGGAGCTGCATGTCACTGCGGGTTTCCTATGACTGCATGCTTGTGCTAAGGAAGCAGATTGAATACCAGCGTGGATTATGCCAATCATAAATGTCAGTAAACACGAGCGTTCAAAAAACATGCATTTATGTCATCTAAAAAAATGTACAAGGGATCGAAATTTTAAATGTGACATGAATGAAACACACCGAAGCCTCAATAACAGCAGAAGAGAACCGCAGTCGGTGCTGCACAGCTGTTCTGTCAAGTGACCAGTGTGGCTGGAAACACGCTGAGGTGACACCCATAATTTAACCAGGCATTTTCCCCTGTGAGTTTGACAATGAGTCAGTCGCACAAAAGCAAATCAGCCTATATGTGTATTTACTGCACGAGGAAGAATGCAAGATTTTTATGCAAACCACAAGCAAAAACCGTGAAAGGAAGGCCACTAACAGAGGGATGTGTGGGGTGTCTATCTGGCATCTTCTAAAGACTGCTGCAAATTGTTACATCCTATACCAGAATTACATAAACAAATACTGATATTAATATAAATACATGAATAATTTGTAGTTGCTGTTTACCCAAAACTAAAAGGATGGAAAGGAGACAGACGAATGACAACAATACAACCTGATTATTCATATTTTTTCTTCACTAAAATTATGGTTCAACATTTCAATATACCCAAGGGAATAATATGAGTAATAAAAATATTAGCAAGTTGCTGTTAAGACTCCACAAAATGAAAACCCGAGCTACCTGAGCTGTATGTCAGGCAGGCCCTTAGTAAAAAGGGAAATATCGTGCAGTTAAAATAACTGAATTAGCCAACTATAGCGACCTCTTAGGGCAAATAAAGTTTATTAAATATGAAACGAATTTAATAAATAAAATGTTTCAATGTGTTTTTTGTTCCATTTAAATTATTCTGCTAAATGTGTTTTAAACTGTATGCTAATTATATCTGATTAATTATTCTGCATACTGATTCAGGTCGAAATGGGGATTCTCCGGGACACCCGAGTGAGACTGGTGCTGACCCGGCTAACATTGTCCCGGGTCCAGGATCCCTGTCCTATGCAGCGGATCAGATACGCCGGTACCGGACAGCGTTCACCCGGGAGCAAATCGCACGGCTGGAGAAGGAGTTTTACCGGGAAAACTACGTGTCCAGGCCGCGGAGATGCGAATTGGCGGCCGCCTTAAATCTACCTGAAACCACAATTAAGGTGAGATTTGTCTTGATGGAGCAGAGCTGATTCAGGCCTCTGGCTGTGCACACAGGCTTGTGTTTGTAAAGCTTGGAGTGCTGCAAAACTGTTTTGAGTTTTATCAATCGTTATTTCATATCTATGCAGAAAATATAGCAACATAGTCACATAAAGTGAGCCAAAGACCAAGAGGCGCTCATAACCAAATGTTAAGAAGAGCCTATAACCTGCAAACTAAGCGTACTGGAAGCAAGGGCCTTGATTTTTTAAGAATAATTTCATTATTTTATTTTATTTTTTTCAACTGGCACCATGACAAATACAAAATATAGCTGCTTTGTTTCCTGTAAATTCCCATATACTCCCCAAGATTAAATTACATTAAAGCAAAACTTGCATTTACCCAAATTCTAGTTCGTGCGTAAAAGCGGAACCGCTGTTCGAGCTCCATGTCTGCTTTTGTTATTGTTGTTTGTCTTTGGCTCATTGGGGGTTGTGGTTAATATTTGACTCGGTGTGTCTCTGTCTCAGGTGTGGTTTCAGAATCGCAGGATGAAAGACAAGCGCCAGCGTCTGGCCATGACGTGGCCTCACCCTGCCGACCCGGCCTTCTACACCTACATGATGAGCCACGCGGCAGCCACGGGGAACCTGCCCTACCCATTCCCATCGCACCTGCCGCTACCTTACTACTCTCACCTGGGTGTTGGAGCTGGCTCGGCTCCGGCCGCCACCCCTTTCTCCAACCCCCTGCGCTCCCTCGATAGTTTCCGGATGCTGTCTCACCCCTACCAGAGGCCGGAGCTCCTGTGCGCCTTCAGACACCCCTCCCTGTACCCGGGTCCGACCCACGGCCTCGGTCCCGGAGGAAGCCCCTGCTCCTGCCTGGCCTGTCACTCAAGTCAATCCAACGGTATCTCAACCAGGCCCTCCGGCTCGGACTTCGCTTGCTCACCAACGAGCAGGACTGACGCTTTTGTCACTTTCACGCCTTCAGTGCTCAGCAAATCCTCATCTGTGACTCTAGACCAGAGGGAAGAAGTGCCTCTGACTAGATAAAACCAAACCAGCTGTTCTTCTATATAAGCCTTTACCATAAGCTTTTTAACCTAACATATTATATGATCAGGAGTGAAACAGCATGAAGAGGTAGCCTGTGAGCAGCCAGCTTAAACTTGGGGCAAGATAATTAGCCAGATCTTCAGCTATGTGACGCACAAGGGATGTCCCATTACTGAAAACTAATAATCCCATTGCAGAGCCAGGACAGTGGGCTGAAATATGACGGCATGGACACAAAACCAGATTTGATTTGTAGAAGATTAATTTGGTGTATGAGAGAGTAGGGGTCCAGAGAAACGTTTAAATCCGCGTGATGGATGGCGTAGAGGTTTTTATCATTACTTGTCCTGTCTTTACACATCCAAATCGACCTACATGTATTGTTAGTTACGCGAGAATGATGCTTTCCATCTCTCTTTTTAACAAGGGGATTTGTTAACAGACTTCGGCCGTCTCATTATAAAGCAGTTCTCCGCGCCGGGGCCCTCCGCGGCGGCCCAGGCCGAAATGTGCAGATGCTGGTGAAATTAGTAAGTGATGTATATGTACGACCCGGTGAATTTTGAGTGTTGAATTAATGATAATATCAGGAAGGGATCGTTACTGCCAAAAGGTAACAAGGCGCCGGGGGAACGGATTACTACAGCCCGAGCGGTTTGACGAGGGGAGGGAGGGGTGGGGGGAGAGAAGAAGGACCCAGAAGAGGATGGAGAGAGACAGAGGGAGGACAATCAACATGAAAAAAATAAATAAATAAAAATGAACCTTTTTTTAAGGCCATCAAACACTCTGTTCTCTCCCTTAACTGTAAAAGAGCCGGTTCTTTTTTTCCTCTGATAAAAATGTGATTAATATATTCCTATAGGCCTCTTTTTAAATATCTTTCTTGCCTTGCACTGCTACAGTGGCGCCAGTTTAGTGGCATTTTGTCGAGAAAGCGGACTAACAAGTGACTGATATGTTTTTGTTTGCTTTTTTTTTTTAGTTTTGTTTTTTTTGACTGGGTTGTCCTAAACGTCTAATTTGCAATAAACACTGTCAAAGAATCAATGGAGCAATGGAGTGTTTGTCTTCTAGACACCTATGATTTATTTAAACAGCAAAGAGCCCTGAGAAAATGAGATTAAAAAGAGTCTCACTTAATGTCACTTTAATCCAAGATTCAGACAAGCTTTCCTCCCTTCAGGTCATTCTATTTCGTTTGCAGGCTGTTAAGGATTTTCTATACTCACAATTATTCTACCACCCTCCCCCTCCAATAATAACACTAATTTTGTTCTCAAGTGGTCGGTGTCAAAACACCGGAGTGTGCCCCCATATCTCCTGATGGGACCGCTAGATTGACCGTGACAGTTAAGTGGTCCCCGGGCTCCGTTAAAGCCACTCATATTTTCTCTCCGACCACTTAATAGACACGCCAGAATTAGTTGTCTGAAGATATTGGAAATGCAAAGAGATCGATGATTCGGAGAGGCCCGCCACCAATCAGCGGGATCTTAATTGGCCGCGTTTGACCGGTGGCTGCGCAAATTAAAAGAGTTTTCTGAGCGTAATAGGATTGGCGAGGTGCTGTGGCCCGCAGAGAGGCACACAAATCACATTTTAAAAGGGGTTTCTTTGCGGCGTAGATGGGAGAGATCAGAAGTTATTGCAGTAATGCACAGAGAAATGGCTGGCATTTAGCCTGGGCCTTAAAGTCCACCTGGCAAAAATATTGGCCAAATGCGTAATTGTAGGTATAATCTAACGAGCGAGGTTGCATTTTTCCAAAACTATACATTTTCTTAGATGAAATACTATCATACAGCCTTTAAACTAACGAATATTTGCGAATCACATTAATATTTAGATGCTATCTCCTCTATGAATATGAATCCTGCAGCCCAAAATGGAAAACCAGAAAATGTCTTCCAAAGTCAGTAGATATTTATCCTCCTCTGATGCTTTCTGAGGTAAAAGGTTCATCCTAATCAGACAGCACTGCACCCACACGCACCGCACCGATGCGCCCTCCCTCTCCCCCCTCTCCCTCCCGCACACGCGTTTGATTGATGGCCTTATTAACTGGAGTTCTTGTAAGTGTGACCGAGCTGATTAAAATGCATATGTTTGGAATAATACACCGTTTAAGCCGCCCGGGTCGGGGCGAAACCACAAGGCAGATTTATGTAAACTATCAGCCGGTGTCTTTAAGCCTGATAGGGACACGGGTCATGCAGGAAAACAGCTTTGGTTTGTGCATAATAAAACCGTACCATAAAATAAAGATGAACGGATCGGGCTAGCTGAATATTCAAAAGGCGCAGGCTCTCCAAACTTCTGGTTTCATAGCGGGTTATTTTTAAAGCTTTTGGAGCTGATTTTCATTTGGTTACACAGGAGCAGCAGCACTATACGATCATCTTCTAAACCCGCGTCACACTGTGCCAGAATGACACATTAAAGTGAGGCAAATTACAACCACATTTACCCAGCCACGCATATGGATCTCCATCTCTGCTCGCTGCATAAACTATACGGCTGAATCCTCAGCGGCCTAATCCAGTATCAACATGCCATTTAATCGTTGAAAGATTGCGTGTGACTGAGCTTCAAGATATGATGGGCTCATAGATTGCGCACATAACACCAATTACATCAGCCGTATAAGATCCTATTAGTGAGAATGGGCTCAGGGCTCCCCAGCTCCCACAACTAGCACAAAGCATTTTGATAGGGGCGGTGCAGTGCAGCTGTCCACTGACAGCAAATTCAAAAAAAAAAACACCAAATGGATCTGTGGCTGCCGCTACCGCTGTTTAAATTGGATTACATCCTAATTTACAGGCCCTTGTCGTAACGCAAGGGGCTGGCGGAGGCGTGGACGGACCAATCACACAGTAATGATGATGAATGGGAGATTAATGCGCATACAAGCAAGACAATTTAAGCCTTCATCTGTTTAAATAGGCTTCCAATATCATTTGGAAACGGGGGTCACGTTAAATCAATCGGGGGACACGTGAAAGTCGTTTTCGGCGGCGTCTTTATCAACCTTATTTACGGTGCACCGGAGACAGCTATATGCAGCTGGAAAATGGGCCGGCTGCTACGTGCTTATGTGACATAAAAGAGCAACAAAAACAGAGCAGAATGGACTCGGGATATAAAAAGATGCTCTTATTTAGTTCAAGTCGAGTCGAGCCGAGCCGAAGATGTCTCTCTGGGTTTTTGCGCACATTCATGCCAAAACCTACCTTTTGGATTGAACAACAACATCTTTAATCCAAATATACTTAAAATGTTGGGTTTTTATTTAGATGTTCTGTATAACGTGACTTTAAGCGAGGGCAGGATTTAAAGAGTTGCACATTCAAAACTGTGCATATTTTGGCAAATTTGGTTTGTGGTGAGGTTCATTTACAGTGGGGTATTTAATCATTCATTCTATGTCACCAAACTTTACGCAGAGCGGATACACAAGACCTAAACACACCATAGTCGAAATGCGTCTTTTGCTCCACAATTATCTTTCCTATCTGCACAAATTAATTACCACAGTTCATTGACAACCCAAAATTGTTAAGATCCTTCGTAGATATCCACTTGTGCAAATCTAATAAGCTATATGGGAAGAGACACTTTATTTTGAAAGCCTACACCAAACATTTCACGCGCCAAAACAGTATTTTGGCGGCCAGGTGAGCCATCATGTCTCCCACAGGTGGGATTTTACCTCATTTGGCTGTACTGATGTAAAGAAAGGAAACAGGAAGGGAAAGGAAGATAATAAAGTTAAGTTATATGCTTACACATGCGGTTGGTGTCGGATTGACAGTGGCGGCGTCTACTATGCATCTGAAATGTTCCAACTGTGACACTTTCACTGTCCAGCATGACAAGGAAGCAGATTCAAACAGAATGAAGAAACTAGCTGCTTTTTATAGATCCGCGCTGCAGGTAAGACGTTGGAAAATACCATGTGTGTGGGACATGCGCACCGGAAGAATCAATATTTACAAAACAAGTCAACACCAAATGTGCACATTTTACATTCAAATAAATGTTTCCACAAGCGGACATTATATCCGTGATGCAGTGACACACATTAACCGATGTAATGGCAGAAATTGTTGCTGTCTCTGCACAGTGCTCCCCTCCTCATTAATGTGGTCTGCTCCGGGAGCTTTTAAGCAGGTGTGTGTCCCTTTAAAAAGATTTTGTCCCTACACCTTGCTGCTGGAGCACGGAAGAGGTGAACATGTACGATCATCACTGTTTTTTAAGTGGGGGAAAAGTTACTTTACATTAAGTTATGAAATAGCACTCACCATCTGCAGCCTCCCAAACAATAAATTCAATTAAAAGATCAATTAATCCTTTGTGCAAAAAATAAGCAAAGTTTGGCGATTTAATCAATAACAGATCTAAGGTAACAGAGCCAACTGTCTCCATTTTATAGATCAATATCGTGCTAAAATGTCAAGATTTCTGACTTTTTACGATGCTGTGACAAATATCTTGTTTCTTTTGAATGTGGAAACATTTGAGCCTGACTGTCACATTTAGATTTTGCATTGAGCAGGCAAGCGATGATGATGAAAATTTCACGTCACAATTGCCTTGCCAAAATAATTGTGATTAACAATATTAATCGATAATCATCTAAATATATTTAAACTCTTAAAATGGCACTAAAAATACTGGAATCACTGTAACTTATTTTTGTTGAGACACATTTTTTATTGCATTACAGAAAGGACATCCCTCTTTTTTTGGTGAGCATAATTTTTCATGAAAAACAATTTTCTTTTTTTTTTATTTATCAAAATGTTTAGGGTGGATGTGCAGCCTGTTTTTGCAGACTCTTTTATTGTTGGTTGCCCAGTTGACTCTTTGCTACTGGACACGATATTAATTATTATCCAGATAATGGAAATTCACTCCAATCAACTTATTGTGAGTGGGGTTTTTTCGCGATGTGCACTGCTGCTGACATGCAATCATTTGTCTGCACTAACGAGAAATATGATTATTCTGAGACGTGGCATTTTTCTCTTACAACCATTTGGTCACAGTTTATCAAATGAACGCTAGCACACAGTCTTGGATTTTCACTAAAAATTGTATAATGGTCTTTGTGCCTATTAATGTGACACATTCCTAACACTTACTGTTTCTAATTCAGGATAAGGTTGAACACTGGTTTAAATTGTAACGATGCACCTTGACCTCACACTAATTATTTAAAAAGAGCTGAGAGAGATTTAAGCTCCTCAGTCTCCTTTTATTCTCACTCTGCTCCTGGGCAGAATTAGAGCTTGCAGTGGCAGATCCCAAACTGTGGTCTTGTGTTAACAACTGAACAAAGATGTCATTGTTCTCTAGGGCACTAAAGTGATAATGATTACAGGAAAATATTCCTTTATAATGCTCAGAAGCATCAGAGTTACAAAGATTTGTGTAGATAAGTAACACAAAATTGTGACCAGTTTGATTATTCATTGATTATATTGAAATTAAAGGGCACAGAGAAGGTTGGTTCCAGTGTCACCTCTTGTAAAACAGCTGTTGGGATGATAGGCGGTGAACCAGAACCAGTCTCCTGAGAGAACCTAGTGTTGATCCCTCCTCGTTTTGGTCCTCTTTGCCATCATTAGTTCTTAGACTTAGAGCCA